TACTAAAAAGGACAAAAAGGACTTACACTACATACTGGATCACAGGGGATGTCATTTCAATCCCATTTGTTCAATTCAACTACCATTTAATGAGCACGTACTACATGCCAGGCACTGTTCTAGGTACAACAGGGATACAGACAGAGTCATTGCCTTCAGAGAGCTCACTGGAGGAAAGGGAAACAAATACTTTCTGCCACAGGTGCAATTTCGTATCTAGTACACAAGCAGCAAAGAAGAGGAAGTGATTATTTGGACAGTCAGGGAAGGTTTCCCAAAGGAAAGGGTGACAGTTGTGCTAGATTTTGAATAATAAATTATGTATACTCCCCATCCAAAGAAATTGGGAGGGTTTTAGATAAATAAACCCTTTAAACCAGTTAAGCCAGTGGCACAGAAAAAGTACTCAAGTTGGTCCTAGTCAGTTCGGCTCAGTGAATAGAGCATCGACCCTTGGACTGAAGGGTCCTGGGTTCCATTCTGGTCAAGGACATGTACCTTGTTGCAGGCTCAATTCCTGGCCCTGGTCAGGGCTGTGTCTCTCCCTCTCCTTTCCACTCTCTCTAAAAACCAATGGGAAGCCCTTGCTGGTTTGGCTCAGTGGATAGAGTGTCAGCCTACCAACTGAAGGATCCCAGTTTCTATTCCAGTCAAGGGCACATTCCTGGGTTGCAAGCTCGATCCCCAGTGGAGGATGTGCAAGAGGCAGCTCATCAATGGTTCTCTCTCATCATTGATGTTTCTCTCTCTCTCCCTCTCCTTTCCTCTCTGAAATCAATAAAAATATATTTTTAAAAATAAAATAAAAACCAATGGGAAAATATCTTTGGGTGAGATTAACAACAACAAAAATATTCAAGTTGGATCCTACTCTGTATTATAATCAAGCTATGAAAACTGGTACCTTCCTCATTTCTAGATTCCTTTTGCCTCTGTGAACCTACAACTAGCCCTGCAGACGTATCCATTTATTTCTATCAATGATGTTTCTGCTGAAAGTTCCCTGGAGCATCCCCATGTGAGCAGAGCTGAAGGATCAAACAAGTTAGTGGGCCTATGAAGCTTCAAGAGGCTTCAGATTGCTCCAAATTCCAAAGCAATTCCCTTACAAAAGTCTAAAACAAACAAACAAAAAACACCCTTAGAAATCTAATGAGGGCTTCCAACTCTAACCTTCGATGTTTTAGGCCAAATTTTATGCTGTAACCAATGTCCTCCCCAATCTTCATTGATCATAAGGGAAAAGTAAAAATCAAAGACAACAGTTCTCAGAACACACTCAATCTTACTAAATACTTCAGACCTAACGCCTTACCTATCTAGAAAAAGAATGGAGAAACAATTTATTTGGGGAAGATTTAGTCCAATTTTGATCTTTCACTTGTTGGGATTTAATAGTGAACCTCCCTAACTGGGATCACTGACAAGCATGTCAACTTCACCGCTGGCAGGCGACATGCCTCGTAGGTCTATGCAACATAAACCATCTGGTACACTAAAATACACGCTGCTGCTTAATATTCTCACTATTTGTAACACTATTAATTCTATCAGAAGCACCAAGGATCAAAACATGCCTCTTTAGTCTCTCCCCCACTGCAAGGCCAAAGAAGAAACCCTCTCCCTTCAGTAGCCGGTGTACACCATTTTTCCCCCCTACCATTCTAGACTAGTGGCAGCAGCAGCCCAACACTGACATCTGCTGGGGAAATCAAGCAAGGGCTTGTACTGTACTGTGATCATCAGCTCAAAAATGTCACGGCCGTTTAGAAGTAGTAGAAGATGCCAATTAGCACCTGTTTGTCTTAGTGACTTATACTAGAATGTAGCCATTCAATTCATGAGGAAGTGATGGCCCTTCTTTAAAGGGTGTGCAGTTATAAATTTTAAAATATACCTCATTTTTTAGTAGAATGTCAGCATTCATGGTATACCTCATCCTCACTCATCTAAAAGTGATTCCTTACATAATGTAACTTACTGTATTAATATACAATTTTACAATAACCATGCATTTGTTATATATTTTAAATTCTTTAAAATGTAAAATTGTTTACAAGATGACAAAGGACTTCATTTTCTACAATATACATTTTTTAATGCTATAACTTTGTTTAAACCACACACATAGTACTTTTTCTCTACAAAAATTTTTGGTAGATCCTTAATAGTTTCTGGATTTTATTTTATTTTTTAAATCCTCACCCGAGGATATGTTTTTATTGATTGTAAAGAGAGAAACATCGATCATTTGCCTCCTGCATATGCCCTACCTACAGACCAGGCCAGTGACCTAGGCATGTGCCCTGACTGGAAATCGAACCCACAATCTTTTGGGTGTACAGGATGACACTCCAACCAATTGAGCCATCCAGCCAGGGCAGTTTCTGGATTTTATTTACTTATTTAAATGGTTTTTTAATTGATTTTTGAGAGAGAGAGAGAAGGAGAGAGAGAGAGAGAGAAAGAGAGAGAGAGAGAAATATCCCTAAGAGGCAATCATCAATTAGCTACCTCCTGTACACCCACATGTGCCCTGACTAGGAATCAAATCGTTGACCTCTTGGTGCCTGGGACAATGCTTAACCAACTGAGTGACATGGGTTGGGCCAGTTTCTGAATTTTAAATTGGCTAACTTTAGTAAGAAGTAATCATGTCCTGGCCGATTTGGTTCAGAGGATAGATCACTGGCCTGTGGACTGAAGGGTCCCAGGTTCGGTTCCGGTCAAGGGCATGTACCTTGGTTGCGGGCACACATAGTACTTTTTCTATGTGTGCAGGAGGCAGCTGATCAATGTTTCTAACTCTCTATCCCTCTCCCTTCCTCTCTGTAAAAAATCAATAAAAGATATTTTTTAAAAAAGAAGTAATCATTAATATTTTAGTCACATGTGGCTAATTACATTTAAATTAAAGTTTAAAAATTTAAATGTAGATCCTCAGATAACATTAGCTGCATTTCAAACTTTTCGAATGCCTTCTGTATGTCAGGAACTGTGCTTGCTACCTTCTCAGCTCTCCTGACAAAGAGGAAGAACAGGATCCACAGTTGGCTAGTGGCTACTGTCCTGAACAGCACAAATACAGAACATCTCATCATTGTAGAAAGTTTTCTTGAACAGCATTTCTTGCAGTGGTTCTCAACCTTCCTAATGCCGCGACCCTTTAATACAGTTCCTCATGTTGTGGTGACCCCCAATTTCATTGTTACAAATTGAACATAATTAAAGCATAGTGATTAATCACAAGAACAATATGTAATTATATATGTGTTTTCCGATGGTCTTAGGCGACCCCTGTGAAAGGGTGGCAACCCACAGGTTGAGAACCGCTGCAAGAAACACGTTGGATTATTTTCAGACAAATTATATAACATCTAGGTGGGGGATTAGATAGGGGACAAAAATGAAAGAAGTCTGGCCAAATATTAATGTTTTAAAATCATGTTTACTATACTTTTCATTTTTATATGTTTAAAGACTTTCATAATAAAAAAGTTAAAAGAAAGGAAAAATAAATAAAAAATGGCTTGCCTAAAGAGGAAACTTTATTCCAAAGCCAGAATTTTGGAAATGTTAATCCAGAATTGGTCTCAATCACATGGGCATAGAATCAACCGCTATTTTTTTATCTTTTATGTCCAACCAAGTTCCCCTGTTCCCCTTAGGAACCACCTACTGTCTTGCATACATCATGCCCTTCCTCCCCTAGTATGGACTGTTCTCTCTCTCTCTCTCTAAATCCTACCCATCTTTCAAGACATGATTTTGTAATGCTTTCTTTGATTCTTCCCTTTTTCTGAAATTATACTACATTTAATCTCAGAAACTTACAATAAAGCATTCAGTTCCCTACATTTTTTATATACTTTCATGTAAATAAGGCTTGCCTCTACAATAACAATGTATATTCCCAGTGGGCAAAAACCGGGTATTTGCTTCTTTTGGGTTCCCCACAGTGCCTAGCACAGTTTTGGAACAATTGTAACCATTCAACAAGTCCTTATTAACTGGGTAACTCTCTAAAGCATCCTCCCAAAATAACAAGTACATCATGTGCACAATCCATATTCCTTCCCTTGCTAGAACCTTATGTCAGAGAAATTTCAGTGGCTTAAATAGAGGATATAATGCAGAACAACATGCTGCTTGGATCCAAAAGGCAGAGTCTGGGAGTTGGTGATTACACTAGGTTTGACCTTTACAGAATTGCAGAAAGAAGACCCTAATAAATCAAGATAGATGCACACACAGCCACACCTTGAACATGTGGTGGGCTATTTACTATACCCACTCAGTTTCTTCCATGAAACAGTTGCCTGAGATGCCGATCTGAGTATGGAGAGGCCTTCCTTCTATGAATTATTCTTCTTCCCCACCCCGAGGTAAATGTCCATCTGGAAGATCTATTCAAAAAATCTTAACTAAGCAACTAACTTGCTGTCCAAAAAATATATTTATCTCAAAAAATATGAATTATCTTCAACATATATTTTATCTTCCTTTCTGTCAAGCTGCATTGCTCCAAAAGATCAGATTTAAGAGCTGAACACAAAAGAAGACCCAATACACTAATCTGCCCAAGCAGGGTTTTCTTTTACTACTAATTTCTAAACATACTGGGACATTTTCTTGTTTCATAGCCCCGAATATACAATCCTTCAAGAAGTTAAAAAAAGCCAGGCAGAGGACATCAATGGTTCTATCTCCTCTTCAACTCCTCATGCCCCTCTAACCTAATCTACACTCTCCTTTAAGGTTAACAAGGGCTTAACCAGAAAAGGAGCTAGTAGAGCCAACTGACACATATTGCTAGGCCCTATCTTCTCTCCACCACGAGAGCATGATTTTCCAAGAAGATGCAATGGAAGTAGGGAGAGCCAAACCAAATGCATGGGTCTCAGATGCTCCAGATGCAGCCACAACATCTGTAGGACTAAAGGAAGAGATATAAGGAGAAGAGTAAGGGATGTAAGAGAGGACAGAAAGCGCCTGCTTACCTCCTGAGTGAATCTTCCTCAGAACTTTCCTCAGGCATATCCTGATGTAAGGCCTCCTGTGATACAGTTCCAGTTCTGCTGGACTGGGTGTAAATTCTTTCCCAGTGGCCTGTCTCCTGGTTGAAGGCCACCCCCACAGTCCTCTCCTCCTGCGGACTAGCAGAGCTGCTCAACTCCAGCCTGCTGGAGCTGGGCGTATGGCCCTCAGTCCGCTCAAGAGGTGGCAATTGGCTGCCACTCGATGGCATGCCCTCAAAGGTACTGGAGACCTGCCAGGAGGAGCTGGCCTCGCCAGAGGAGTAGTTAGGTGTGGTTCTTTCCCAACGCAGGGTATCGTTGTTAAAGGTTAGCAGATTGTGGCAAGCACGACAGTGATTCAGGTGACCACGGGACAGGTTGGAGTTGTTCTCACTGCTGTGTGGGGTGGGCTGGTGGGAGGGGCCTGGCCTCTCAGATTCAATGTTATTATTGAGCATTTCCTGGGCCTGTTGGGTCTGGGAGGGTTCCCCATTCAGGCTCTGGTCCAGCTCCTGAAGCCGGTCATACTCCAAAAAGAAGCGTCTCAGGTCACATGGAAGCTCATGGCGAATGCTGCCTGAGTTGTTTTGGCTGGAGCCATTCCCTCCATCTGACTCAGTTGCCAACCCTGAAGATGGAAAACCCCTCCCTTCTGTGGCTGAAGTGTACACAGATGCTTGAGAGCCACCTTCCTGCTGCCTCAGCACAGACAGCAAAGTCACCGAAGAGGCACTGGTCCTGGGCGGGGGCATGGATTCCGCCTCAGAGCGGGAGTTCAGACTGAGCACTGTCCGGGTCCATTCAGATCCTGTCAGTCCAGGAGCTATTTCTCGGTGATACCTAGAAGGGTGGCTAGACAAAGGGCCTCCCAAAGAGCGACGGGTGGGACCCAGACTGAGGTTGCGGAGCGTGTTGCCGGCAGTGCTGCTCTGGACTGTACTGAAGGCAGACGGCCGGTTCAGGAGGCCCTGGTCCTGCTGCGTTGCTGAGGCCTGCTCCGGGGGATGGAAGGGCTCGGTCTGTACAAAAGAAAAGGAAGGGGTAGTAGCCCTGGCAGAAGCAGGGGGAACACTGTCCTGGTGTGGCAAGAGGGAAGGAACTCGAGTGCCAGAGCAGCGGCTGCAAAGGCACAGGATCCCAAGGTGCTGGCAGCACTCAGCTGTGGGGTAACTGACCCGCTGTCGGAGCCTGATGTAAGCGGAAGTCCTGGGGCGCTCCATGGAGGGCTGAGGGGGAGGCGGTGGGGGTGAGGGGGTAGCAGACTCTTGCACTGTGCTTTGCTCTCCCACCTGGATGCCAGAGGAGCGAGAGGACAGCATGTGCAGGAAATTGTGGAGGAGAGGCGTCCGGCGAACTGGCTGTGATTGCAGCAGGGCACGCTGTCGGTAGTGAGATATTTCTGTTCCATCTATGGGGATCTCTGGTTCATCATCACCCTGCAGTGTGGACCAAGGTGGGACGGAGGCAGAGCAAGACAGTTAGGTAGAACCTTTAGGTAAACCAAGAAAAGTTACTGATAATCATCCAAGAAAAACTTTCACAGACAAGCAACAACTCCACCTCTGAAGTGCTGAGAACTGGCTTCAGATTCAGAATCATCATATGGTATTAAATTATTCCCTTCCAATTAACATTTCTGAATGAGTATAGCTGGCACACCAATTCTCTTAAAAAAGACATCTTCATAACACAGAGGCAGTGAGGAGAAGCAAAATGTTAACCAGCCAAAGGCACATGAATGACAATCTATCCAACACTGCCTGGTTACTTCTAATGATGGAATCACTCGGGTTTCAGAATTGACTCCCCTATCATGATTATGGCTATAACTTTGAATACAGTCTGAAGCTAGTTTTGAATACTGACTGGAGAGAAACACTCGGGCACTGAAAATTAAAGTCTAATACAATCAGAATTACAACACTAGTTTAAAAAATAAGCACACATTCTCCTTATACTTGCCAAAATATGGGAATCTGTATCAAAAAAATAATTTCAAAAAATACCTAGACTTCATTCCAGGAAGCAGCTACATTAAGCACACATTTGCTCATATCTATGAGCTCATCATAATAGCAAAGCATAGAATGCTCCCAAACTCTGCCACAAGTTCAGTTCCTCCCTTATATGGAAGCTACACTGGCATGAAGCATGAGTCCTGGTGACAATGAACAGTTTCAGCATCAAATAACTAGCGGAGTCTGTAAGTTAGACTAGACTAGCTTATATCCAATTCTAATGCCAAGAGAGCCAAAGGAAAACTGCATCAGCTTTAATTCAGACAATGTGTGTCTTGATCTTGAGGGCTAAATAAATATCAACTGGCATATTTGATGCACACTTACATCTCCCTCTTGCAGTTTGATAAACACAGATAACTAGGGATGAACAATTATCCCTCAAGCTACCCACAACCTGAATACCTTTCCGATCTCTCACAAAAAGGGGCTCTTCCAAACCCAGATAGCTTTGAACCTAAAAAAGATTCTAATGACCCAAGTTTTCAAAGACCAGAAGATAGGCCAATAATGAACAGTTGAAATGAACAAAATTAACTACTTCCCAGCTGACTGGCCAGCTGCTGAAAGGGCAGGAGGAGCGCCCTGGCCGGTGTGCTCAGTTTGTTAGGCATGAACCTGTGCACTGAAAGGATGCCGGTTGGATTCCCAGTTAGGCACATGCCCAGGTTATAGGCTCTATCCCCGATAGCAGGCACGGAGGAGGCAGCAACTGATGTTTCTCTCTCTTCCTCTCTCTAAAAATCAATAAAAATTCTTTAAAAAAAAAAGGCAGAAGGAGCTGTAGGGATAACAATCTGTCTCCCAGGTGAAAGCCAAGTGTAAATGTTCTCTACCATGCTAATCTATGCCAGACATCACTGGTGGACAGAGGACTCACCGGACCCGTTCCATCTCGCTAGCTGTCTTCACCACAGCAAAGGGCTCCCTTCGGCTCCAATCCCAGAAGTGGATCTCATTGGCAGTGGCAATCAGAAGGAGCTGAGCCGTAGGGTGGAAAGCCAGAGAGGCAATGGCATTGTTGCTATCTGTGAACCAGCTTTCACTGCCACCCTATGAATGAACCAATCCCAAATAATCTCAGGTTACCAACTGCCAGCAAACTGAGATGTCAAATTCTCAAAAGGTCCACATTTAAGGTAAAATTACTATGGCAGGGCACACTTTAAATTTGTCCTCTGTAAAATGATGTAGAAAATCAGCGATCGAGCAGTGTCACCAATTTATTAGAAAAATATTACTGTCAGTTCAGTTCTCCAAGTCTTCACAAGTCATCAGCAACGAGCATCAGTACAGCTCCTATTTCTGAAGCCTGGGAAAACTCAAGCTTGGCGCATGACACGGTGTACAACCCACTAGCCATTCAGTAGGACAGGAGCATATTGCTTTGAGGATCGTAATCAGAGTACTGTATAATCCGCGCTATAAGACAACAAAAATCCATCCTGAACACATGGTAGAGCATGGACGGATGGAAAAACAGTTAAATAGGGTATTCATCACAGAATGGAGGCTAGGCTTGCTATCATGTAAGTGGGTAAAGACTACCACTTACTTGGATGTCGTGATAAGAACCTGGCTAGTCTCTCCTCCAGAATTAAGAACCCAATGGTAAACAAGTCTCTGAACTGAGAATACCAAAGACAAGGAAATACTTACGTGTAAATCCCAAATCCTAACCTCCCCATCCAGGCAGCCAGAAGCAATAAGGCCTGAGATGGTGGGATGGAAAGTGACACACCATGGAGTACGACGGTGTCCAATCAGCGAATGAACACACTTGCCAGTCTTCACCTCCGTAATATAGATATTATGGTTCACATGGGTGGAGGCCAAGAGAGTCCTAGGAAATCAGAGTACAAAGTCAATGTGAAGCATGTGGGAGGGGAACAAACTATCAGCTTTGGGTGACACAGAAAATTTATACTATTCCTCATCCCAGGACAAAAAAAAACTACACCTTGGGCATTACCAACAGCAGAAATATTCTGATCTTTAAAAGCTTCTGAATTCTCCACCCTGTCCCCAAATGACACATAACCACTTCTGAGAATATTTTTCTAGCTGGGAAACTATCACACCATTGGTGGCCCATACTGCACATGCAAGGGATGATTATTGAAAAACTTTCCAAGTTTTGTGCCTCAATGTTCTTTGCTTATTCCTATTATTTTTATGGTTATAACTGCTCATCTACTTTCTTTCCCTTTCTGATACATTGTCAAAGCTCTGTTCATACAATGCTTCAAAGAGCCTTTAGGGCAGCGGTTCTCAACCTGTGGGTCGCAGCCCCTTTGGCAGTCAAACGACCCTTTCACAGGAGTCGCCTAAGACCATCCTGCATATCAGATATTTACATTACGATTCATAACAGTAGCAACATTACAGTTATGAAGTAGCAATGAAAATAATTTTATGGTTGGGTCACAACATGAGGAACTGTATTTAAAGGGCCAGAAGGTTGAGAACCACTGCTTTAGGGGTTTGACTTGGAGGATCAAGTTAGGTCAAACACACAGAAAGCAATGCTATCACAAGTCTTAAGTAATAGATAAGTACTAGGTACCTGTCTGGGCTGAAGGCCAGTAAGAAGGTAGAGCGTGGACTATCCGGCAGTTCTACTCTCTGGGGAACAAACAGAAAAAGTTAAAAAAACATTATTTATAAACTATGGCCCACTCTACCTCAAAAATACACAAACCTGTCTAGATTAGTATTCACAGAGTAAATTATCAAACTGGACATGATGAAGCTACAAATTGAGAAAGACAAATCTAAATTAGCTTTAGGAAAAATGTCTAACTGTAAAGAAAAACGGTACTTCTAGCCCATAAGTTCTTCCAAATTTGTTTTACCAAATTTCCCTGCCCGGCCCTAGCTGGTTTGGTTCAGTGGATAGAGCATCGGCCTGCAGGCCAAAGGGTCCCAGGTTGATTCCAGTCAAGGGCACATGCCCAGGTTGCGGGCTTGATCCCCAGAAGGGGGCATGCAGGAGGCAGCCCATCAATGATTCTCATCATTGATGTTTGTACCTCTCACTCTCTCTCCCTTCCTCTCTAAAATCAATAAAACGATATATTTAAAAAAAATAAAAAAACACCTACCTGCCCGGCCGGTGTAGCTCAGTAGTTGAGTGCCAACCTATGAACCAGGAGATCACAGTTTCATTCCCAGTCAGAGCACTTGCCCAGGTTGTGGGCTTGGTCCCCAGTACAGGGCGTGCAGGAGGCAGTCAATCAATGATTCTCTCTCATCATTGATGTTTCTATATCTCCCGCCCTCTTCCTTCCTCTTTGAAAGCAATTAAAAATTATATTTTCTAAAAAAAACTCCCTAAGTTACATAGTATATCTATTCTAGTACACAAAATAAATTACACCCCAACTCTATGTCATTAACCCAACTCAAGGTCCCATTTTACTGTCACCCCTGCACAAACCCAATGTCCAAAGTAACCATTTTTCTTACCTTGCCCTCCCATTTCATCCACCGGGTTTTATCTTCCACCAGCTCCTGCAGAAGCCGCTGAGCTCCAAAGGCCCGAGTGCCCCGTTCTCGCCCCCAGAGTATGCGGACAGCATTTTTCTCTGGAACAACCTTCATGGTGCTCAGCAGCCACTGTAACACCAGGCACAGGAAGAGAAGGAGCAAGCAATAGCTCCACACGCTGAAGCAGCTAAAATGAGGCCATTCAGGTCCTTGTGAGTTGTCTTCATGGAAATCTAAAGTATGAACATTAATGTCAATGAACATTAATGTCAAAGCTTCTACAGAGAAGCTTCCCATTGCAAATACAAATCTAGCCCAAAAAGGAAAGTATTCTTTTCATATTTAACTAGAGGCCGGTGCATGAAATAGGTGGGGTCCTTAGGCCTAACGGGCAATCAAGGCCTATTGGGTAATCAAGGCCTATCGGGTCTGAGCCAACCAGGGCCTGCCAGCTGCCAGGTGCAGGACGGGGCCTGCCAGACGGGGGGAGGTTGGGAGGTTGGCTGTGGGAATGCATTGACCACCAGGGGACAGCTCCTGTGTTGAGTGTCTGCCCCCTGGTGGTCAGTGTGCATCATAGTGACTGGTTGACCAGTTGTTCCAGTCGTTCCGTCGTAATGGTCACTTAGGCTTTTATATATAGAGACTAGAGGCCCAGTGCATGAAATTCATGCACAGGTAGGGTCCCTAGTGGCTGCTGGCTTGGGGCGCCTCTCTTCCCCCAGCCACCGCCGGCCCCACCCCCTGGTCCAACTCCCAGTCGAGGGGACAATTTGCACATTAGGCTTTTATTTTAAAGGATGACACTTTCTCAGAAATGATCCTTTCCCCAAAACTTTTCTTCCAAAAATATTTCTTCCTTAAATTCTGCTCATATCCTCCACAGCTCAGCCTTTTATGTAAAGAACAGACCATTCTCTAAAGCAGTTACTCTGTTCTTATTTTATCAGACAGGAAGAACTTTTGCTACTAATAAAGAGATCTAGAAACTTATCAAAAATAAGATATGACTTCTATGCCATGCTGCTACCGTAGTCGCTGGCACCCCTTCTTCTTTCACTTGGGCAATCTCCAAACTAAAGGACAGATAACAGATCTGAAGAGGCTATTACCTGCAGTATGGCTCTTAGTAGTAACTGCCATTCTACTTCCTACCTAAAAGCAAGTAAGTACATGAGGACTACTTTGGAGTACCTTTCTCACTCTAGTTTTCTCTTCTCCACTAAAGTTCCAAAGTAAAGAACAGAAGAGAGAAAAACTTTTCAGTTCCTTTTTCTCATCCACCACAATCCCTAAGAACATAAAACTGTCACAAAATGAAAGTGTTACTAAGATGTCAACTAGCATCAAAATATATATATATGTATACAAAAATTAAAGAATTGGCTCCTCTATACAATGAAATATGCAGCCCAATAAAATGGTGTTTCAAAATAATATATATAAATGTTATTCATTGCAGCACTGCTTCTTCAACTCTTATGAAAATTTCAAATATACAGAAAAGTTTTTAAAAGAGTGAAACATGCACTATTCACCAGACTCAAGAATTGTTAATACTTTGTCAAATTTGCTTTATCTATCTCCCTCAATATATGTGTGTGTTTGTATTTTCTGAAAAACACTCTAACCTTATATACCCCATTATGCATTTCCTAGTAATAGGGACATTTAGCTTCATAACCACAATACTATTATCACACAAATATTCTAATATTCAGTCTTCATTCAAATTTCCCCAACTGTCCCCCCAAAAAACATCTTTAATGAGTTGGCTTTTTTTAAAATCCAGAATTAAATCAAGACTCAAGCATAGAATTTGGATGCCATGTCTCTTTAGTCTCTTTTATTCTAGAACTACAGGCCTGATGCACGAAATTCGTGCAAGAGTAGGCCTTCCTTCTCCTGGCCGTCTGCACCAGCTTCTCTCCAGCACCCGGGACCTGGGCTTCCCTCGCAGCCCTGGCTTCATCCAGAAGGACATTCGAAAGGACATCTAGTCTAATTAGCATATTATGCTTTTATTATTATAGATGGCCTTAAGTTTTGTTTTGGTTGGTTTTGTTTGTTTATTTACAACATAAGTTTTTTTGGTGTGTGTTTTTTTACAACACAAGCTTTTTTAAAAGACCAAGATAGTTGACTTACAGAATGTCTAACATCCTAGTTCTATTTAATTGTTCCTTCATAGTGCCATTTAGCTTGCCTCAGTATGCCTTATATTTCCTGTAAACAGGTTAGGTCTAAAAACCACTGATGAGATTTAGGTTGTTTTTTGGAGAATGCTTCACAGGTGATGCTACTATGAACCCCCTGGTATAGTACATCAGGTGGCACATATTCTCAGACTGTCCCACTTAGTCAGGCTTGGTAACTTATGTGATCACTTGGCAAAACATGATCACTTAGTTGGATTTGTAGCAGCCAGAAAGTTCTCTTTATAAAAAAGGTCTATTTCTCCCTTTACAATGATAATCTGTGGCTAACATTTGGCACCATGCGAATATCTGTTCTTCCTCAACCTTTTGCTTAATGGTTTAGCCGTCATTGATGCTTCTTTCTTTTTAAAAAAATATATTTTATTGATTTTAGAGAAATAGAAACATCAATGATGAGAGAGAATCATTGATTGGCTGCCTTCTGCATGCCCCCCACTGGGGATCGAGCCCGCAACCCAGGCATATGCCCTTGACCGGAATCGAACCTGGGACCCTTCAGTCCTCAGGCTATCCATTGAGCCAAACCAGGTAGGGCGATGCTTCTTTCTTGAACTGTTTCACTTAGGGGCAGATTTTCTAATGTTGTCATTATTTCTACATTTATTAGCTGGCATTCTGGAAAGAACTGACCCTTAATAACTGAAGCAGATTAAATGCTTACTTTTTGGCCTTTAATAACTACTTCTTTCTTAGTGTTTATAATAACAAAAATTGGGGACAACCCAAGTGTCCATCTAAAAGGGATTAAATGGCCCAGCTGGTATGGGTTGGTGGTTGAGTGGCACCTCATTCCAAGGTGTTGCCAGTTCGATTCCAGTCGAGTTGCAGACTCAATACCGGGCAGGGGGGATGTAGGAGGCAGCCAACCAATGCTGATATTTCTCTCTGCTGGATGTTTCTCTCTCTCACTCCCTCTCCCTTCCTCTCTCTCTCTCTAAAGGTAGTAAATGACCAATCTACGTAAGGAAGATTCTCTGGGTAATGACAACAAGAGACCTCCAAGAGGGGGCGGGGGGAGGAAGCAAGGTACAGATCACTGTATTCAGTATAGTAATGCTACCTTTTGAATAAGAGGATAACTTAACACTTATTAGAAACTGAAGGAACAAGGTGAATGGAAACAGAGATGGAAGCAAGACTTCCACCTTGCTTGTTTGTTTTATATCATTTTTAAATTTTTGAAATGTATTACCTATTAAAAATTTATTTTTGAAATATTTAATGATGTGAAAAATACATGTGAAATGAAAATACATGTTAAATGAAAACAGCAGAATGCAAAATTATATACACGGTATAATCCCAATTTTATTTAAAAAAAGAGCTTGGAGAATAATGACATAAAAGAAATATAAAAAGATAATAACCAAGGTTATCTTTGGATGGTGAGGCTACAGGTGATATCATAATTAGAAAATGCAGTGTTCTTTTTACTTTTTAAATTTAAGTAATAAATGCTTATTGTAAAAAGTCAAACAACAAATTGGCTCTTTATATTTTATGAAAGGCTGCAATCTAAAAATGTACACAACTAGATTCATCCAAATATTCAAAAGGAAAAATATTTATAGCCTGTGCTGAAAGGAGTTTTCTCCCTGGAATATTAAAATGTAAAAAGTAAGAAAGATTCTATGGAAAGACACAACTCACATGTTCCTAGTCACATACAAAGCACAGTTCCCTAAGAAGTGACAAAGGAAGAAACCCTAACCTTTATCCTCATGATACAGCTCTCATCCCTCATTAGTGCATGATATACCTATGTACACTGAAAATGTCAACATGCTGTAAGCCAACCTTCTGAATAAACCAAGGATGAACTAATTGGACGGAAACAATCTCCCTGGTGACTCTGACAACTCATGGTTTAAAACCAAAAGTCTGGAAGTGAAACTGCCTTGCAGCTTAATTACTAACCAGTAAGGTGCAGAAATACAGTTCCCATTAGTTCACCTTAACCCTTTACTAAGTCTACAATTCTTTATGAACCTATAATTCTTTAACCTGATATAGAGAATTTCTGAAGAAATTAGTTTTGAAGGTCCCTTGTCCTAACAGTGCAATATAAATGTACTTTCTAAGAAACAACTTTAAACTATTTATAATCTTGTAACATGTGGTGAAAACAGCAGCAGCCTAATTCCAAAAAAAAGAAAGAAGAAATCTGATCTTTGACCTCGTGTAATTCACAAGGAAAAAGAATATATAGGTCACAAACTTCAACTGATCCAGAAAACTGTGATGCAACCTGGAGTTTCCACAGGTATCAAAAGGAAGATATAAGAACTGCTATAAATACCAGTTTCCAAGAAATCTAAAAAAAACTAAAGCTCAGAATTACCAAAGAGCTTGTCTATCAATTCCCAGGGACCTAAACACACTGAAAGTTCAAACAAGAGAAAGTCTGACTAATGGCAAGAAGTCAAAGGGACTAAAACAATTGTACAGTTTTTCTTTTGTCTGAAGAAAAATATTTGCCTGTGTTTCTTTAAAAGGATATAGGACTACTCTCCTGATACACTCCTTACAGCTACCTGAAAAGAATGTTTACTTGGTTCTCTATAAAGAACAAAAGGACCGCCCTAACTGGTTTGGCTCAGTGGATAGAGCATCGGCCTGCGGACTGAAGGGTCCCAGGTTCAATTCCGGTCAAGGGCATATACCTGGGTTGTGGGCACATCCCCAGTAGGGGTGTGCAGGAGGCAGCTGATTGAGGTTTCGCTCTCTTTGATGTTTCTAATTCTCTATCCCTCTTCCACTCTGTAAAAAAATCAATAAAATATATTTTTTAAAAAAAGAACAAAAGGAATTAAATCAAACTAAAGTCACACTGACCTGTAGCTGAGGAGGAAGTGTCAGTCAAGTGTGTTTTTCATTCCTCTTTTTAAAAAGAAGGAAGAAAAAAGTTTCCCAATCTGTCCCTTAAACCAGACTGAGAGAAAAGATGCCAAGAACAGCTTTTGTGAAGCCCTTACACAGTCCTCAGAATT